CGCAGAGTCAGGTCAGCAGCTTCCTCCAAGCCCAGACCCTGTACCCAGTCCCCCGCACTTCACTCTACCCCTCCTCCAAGACCCCAGGTCTAGAGAAATATAATCTGCTGGCTGGATGTGGCGCACAAGAGCCCCCGTGTGAAGGGAGCTGAGTTCCTAGCTCTGTGAGTGCCTGCAAGAGTCAGGATGAGCCTCTTGGGTGCCAGAGACAGGCCAATGACTGAGGTTTCCTGCACCTCTGCAAAGGGCCGGAGGCCCAGCTGGTCAAGCATGAGATCTGTGGGCGAGGGAGCTGTAGCTCTACTTCCGTCTCACCTCCACGCCGCACTACTGGGCTTGGAGCCTCCCTCCTCCAAGGGCAACAGGCTGCACAGGTGGGCCAGGCTGGGGCTGATTGTGTCCAGAGACATTTTTTTTAACCCCTTCCTGGCCAAGGTGGGAACCACTGTTCCCTGTAAGCTGAGCACTCGAGCAGCCACCCAGGAGAGATTCCAATGCCACCCAGCTGATTAGCAGAGCGCCCATAGCCAGCAACATGTGTTTCTACCAGAGGTGCACATCTACACCTGTCTGGGGGCACATCACAAATTTTATTCTGCACAGCAATGGAAAAATGTAAAGGAAACACTGGTGGGAATCTGTCCCACCAAAGCAGCCAATTGCACAGGATGGGCTAAGAATCCCTTACAAATCTGCCTGTTCTCTTTCTGTGGCTATCCCCTTCCAATGCCAATGTCAGACACAGATGTGATGTTTTCAGAGTAAACATCTCTGTGGTCTGCTTGGAGGATGCTCTTGTCACATTTCAGGGCAACTGCACTTGTATTTCCACCTCCATGCTCCAGCAAGACCACTCGTTCTAGTCTCTTGGCCCCTCGGTCATCACTTCTCTTGGGCAGAGACTTGCATCTCTGTACAGGTCAAGTCTTTGATCTCCAGGGCCAGCTAATCAGCAAGAAAAGACACTCTCCCTTGGGGTATATCATGAAAAGCCTTTTAGTTTTTGCATAAGTGGAGATGGGGAATTTGCATAAACCTCTACTTTCATATTTTTCAGGAAATGCATGCCCCCCTTCACCTCCCGCCATGGCGCTCGCAGAGACTTGCATCTCTGTACAGGTCAAGTCTTTGATCTCCAGGGCCAGCTAATCAGCAAGAAAAGACACTCTCCCTTGGGGTATATCATGAAAAGCCTTTTAGTTTTTGCATAAGTGGAGATGGGGAATTTGCATAAACCTCTACTTTCATATTTTTCAGGAAATGCATGCCCCCCTTCACCTCCCGCCATGGCGCTCGGCTGACTACGGCGCCAATCAGCGCGACGCCCCCAGCCATATAGGCTCCCCCATGGCGGCATAGCTGAGCGGCGTATAAGTCAGCCATGCACCACGGCGGGAGGTGAAGGAAGATACAAAGGGGGGTGGGGCGGTGATGTTCATGGCCAGACCCTGCCCCCTGACTGTGTACATCACCGCCCCGGCCCCTTCCCCTCCCGCCGTGGCGCTTGGGGTGGCTGCATGAGGACTCCAGCGCACAAATGTCTGCTTGTACCACTTGCTTCCCTGCGGCGGCCCGGCTGAGCGGTGCAGAAGTCAGCTGAGCTCTACGGCAGGAGGTGAAGGACGTGACTCAGGCAACAGCGCCACCCAGAGGGAATAGCCAGCATTTCAGTGTTACAGACTCACAAACATTGGGCTACTATATATACGATATCAGCAGATTTACCCGGTGTTGATCACATCCTTAAGTCAATTAATTTTTTGTAAACTCAGGAAAATCTACATGCTTAATTAAAATTATTGTATTTTTCAAAAATAGTGTTATTTATATTAAGCTAATGTTTACTTTGGGTTTCTTAAAAAGGGATTGTTAAAACTTTTCACTATTTTTTTTGTAGTAATGTTTAAATGGGAATATCATCAAGTGTATTTTTTTTCGTCATCCCGGTAAACTCTTTTAATTTGTTATAATCAATTGTATTAGAAACATTTTCTTCTCGTTTCCAAAACTTAAGCATTGATGTGGCTGTGCCAAAGCAAAGCGCTACTCCAAATGTCTCTGTTTTATCTCTTTTCTGTAAGGTTTATTGAGAAGCAATCCTGTCCCAGGGTCAGCCTATTTTTCTTGCTCCCCTTGACTCAGTCTGTTTCAAGAGTCGCTCAGATATGTCAGTTTTGAGGAATATACTTGATTTGGCGATTCTGTCTCTTTCCTGTTGGGTTTTATGAGACACAATCCCATTCTAGGCACAGTCTCTTTTCCTGGCACAGTGAAACCCTGAGCTTGCTCTAAGTGAGGATCAGGGGAAGCTGTGTATCAAATTTGGTGGTCCAAGCTTTTACCATTTAGGAGGAGTTCTTGAACAGACAGACAAACTCTAGAAAATAAACAGTAGAGGAATGATTTCTTTAGCCATTCTCATTATTAGAGGATCCAACCCAAGCTCCTAAAACACTTAATACATGAATAATAATTAATGCCTATTTGTCATATCAGTAGGTCTCAAAGCACTTCCCTGTCTTTTTCATGAATGTATTTCCCTTCTCAGCACTCTGGGGAGGCGGGCCTATGCCACCATCCCTATTGATGGAGAACTGAAGAACAGCGAGGCTAAGTGACTAGCCCAGGTTCAAACCAGAAGTCCATTGTGGATCAAGAAAACCAAAGCAGGTTTTCCATGTCTTCAGCCAGCGCCTAAACCACTGGACCAATGGGCCCTTCTCTTGAGGATGGCAACACGGCCTTGGCACAAAATGGTTCCCAACTGGGAGCTGAACATCTCTGAGTCGCTGGCTACCAGAGGAGATGCCAACACATAGCTGTTCAGTGCAGACCTCCCTGGCAAACCTGATCCTTAGTTTCTTTTGATACAGGAGGCACAAGCTTGATTATCAGCAAGCACCAAACTAGTCATGTGGAGAACCCTCTCCCTCCATCTCTCCCGCTTACTGTTTAAACCCACTCCCAATATTTACATTCCCCAAGAATACATCTTCCGACTTAACTTCCTTGGAAGGTCCTCTTTCACCTCCTTGTTCCTCAGACTGTAGATCAGGGGGTTCAACATGGGGATCACATAGGTATAAAACAAAGAAATGATTTTGTCGTGGTCCATGAGGTACTTTGAACAGAGCAAGCATAACCATAAAAGAGGACAAGAGAGGGAAAGGTTTTGCGTACCGTGTTGGCTATTTTGGGTTTGGAAATGCGAGCAAAGAAACAGTGTCCTGCTGTCTGAGTTCTGCTTAGTTCAGAGAACCAGGCCTTTATGCATTCTTTCCAAAAGTAGGCAGTATTGCATCAAAGATTCCTAAATCTATCGTCAGTTGTTTCTCCCAATGGAGACAATCTACAGGACCCTGAACGTTGGCTACGTATTGAGGCCCAAAAGAGGTAACACTACTTTAGACGTGTAGGTCTAACTCCCTGAGAATTCTACACAGTTGTTGCTGTTTCTCTTTTCTGAAGAGGAAATGAAGGTTCAATACACTCCTGGTTTTTATTTTTTAATGTAATAAACAGGATTAGAATTTTTTCTTTAATTCACTTGTATTTAAAACAGAAGGGGCCATTATCGGAGCTGAGCAGTTTCAAAATGGGTCGCATCTCAGCTAATGCACCTCAAATCTTGAATCATGAAATCTCTGCTATTGCAGTCCTTCCTGACCCCCCCAACTTGGTCAGAGCCCCTCAGTTCTATCTTCAGCCATTTTTGCTATTACAATTCAAGGCTTTTAGACATCCCTGAAGAGACATCTCAGTCTTAATCCACTGTACATTTCTTTGCTTCTCATGTAGTCATCTCTGGGCTCTCAAAATACCAGTGTCCCGAATAACTCAATTCTTGTTTTCTCAGCAATTAAAAAATAATTAATAATTCCTGTACCAGGAAATGCATTTGCAATAAACGCTGCCAGATTGATTTCTGACTGGAAGTTGTTCTTCCTAGGGGGAACTTCAGATTTATGGAGTGGATAAATCAGGGGAAAGGGATAGAGAAGCCACAGCACTTCGAAGAACTTGATCAGACTTTGGTATCAAACTATCTCCTGATCCCATGTGACCTAAAGGGCGTGTTAATGATGCTGTTTGTGCCTTACCTGAGGTAGAGAGCTCTAAGGGATTCTGTCTCCAAATGCCAGTAGAGCAAATAAATACACCCTGCCTCTTATTACAGCTTTTGAATCCAAGAAAGAGAGATGTCTCTCTTGCAACAGGCAGTACAGGACAAAGAGTAACGTGAGTAAAACAAATGCTTCCATTTCTTCTAATACCTGGGAAATACACCTAGATCCATTCTTTCCACCGAGGAACAGAATTTTTTTCTATTCCCAAAATGGTGATTCTTATGCCACCAAAATGATGTTTTTTTGATGATCTCTGTATATTTGCAATCAAATAGGATAAAAAGCGTAAAATACCCTGAATACACCATGTGATTTTTTGGATGGGTCATATATGGGACCATCAGCTGTTGTGGATTGTCATCACACCATTGACCTCACTAGAGCCGTAGTAAGATACAAGAACTAAGAATCTAGCCCTAATGGGCTTTAGTGAGTTAAGTTATTGCATACACTCGGTCAACGGGGGGGAAAAGAAGGAAATGGTAAGAAAAAATACCCCTCATTTGCCAGGAATCAAGTTATAAGGGATTTTTTTAAAATGTGGTTGATGGTTTTGAACAACAAATATTATCATTTAAAACTTAAAGCAGGTTTTGTGGTGGAGGAAACATTCTAGATTGACAGCCCTAAATGGAGCTGGTCTCTCTGTCGATAGCGGGTCCCATACAGAATGGGCAGTGTTGGTTTTTCTCAACAGCCCATTCTCGATTCTGAAAGAAGGTTGCAGGCTCAGGGTGGATACACAGAGATCATGCAATGAATATAGGGCGTGTATATTTCAGATTTTCTCATTAGCTTGCAGTGGAAGAACAAGCACGTTTGGACCCACTTGGATTCCAAGGAAACATCTCGCTGGATGCTTTCCGACTGGCACTCCCTGCTACCGCGGCAATACCAGGTATGTATTCACCATGAAACTGCTTAATGCCTGCTTTCAAATTCTCTTCTGAGAAATAAAGGTCAGTCCTCCCACTGTCGCTTACCCTCTGGGTAAACGAGAGAGATTAAGAGAGCTACAAGTTACGCGAACACAGGAGAAAGGAAAAACTGACAATGTCAGAGAGTCTCAGAGGCCAGGTCAATGCACAGCTGTGTAGACATTCAGGCTACGTCTAAACTACATGCCTCTGTCGGCAGAGGCATGTAGATTTGTTTTTTTGGCAAAGGCAAATGAAGCCGCGATTTAAATGATCGCGGCTTCATTTACATTTATATGGCTGCCGCGCTGAGCCGACAAACAGCTGATCAGCTGTTTGTCGGCTCAGCGCGGCTCTTCTGGATGCTCCCCTGCTGAAATCAAAGCCCTTTGTCGGCAGCCCCGGTAAACCTCATCCCACGAGGAATAACGGGGCTGCCGACAAAGGGCTTTGATGTCGACAGGGGGAACATCCAGACTAGTGCGCTAGCCGACAAACAGCTGATCAGCTGTTTGCGGGCTCAGCGCGGCAGCCATGTAAATGTAAATGAAGCTGCGATAATTTAAATCGCGGCTTCATTTGCCTTTGCCTATGTGTCTAATCTACATGCCTCTGCCGACAGAGGCATGTAGTCTAGACACAGCCTCAGGTTCTGGGTCTGACACCCAGAGTGGCGGGCGTGTGATCGGCTATTGCCTAAGTGAGCATGAGAGAAAGGGAGGGAGAGATTTTCTTTACATCCCCGCACACCAAACTCTTTTTCTCTTGAAGGGGGATTTTATCCTAACCCGTTTGTTGCTTCTGCTACAACACTCCCATGCTAGTTCCGGGAGCCAAAAAGGGTGGGAGGGTTTCAACCCTGGTGTAAATACAACCTCTCTTTGCTTAACTCTTCCATTCCTTCATATCCCCTTTAGGGATGTAAACCTCCCCTTTGTGACTGTTACCTTCATTATCTCAAAAAGAATTTGTTTTATTGGATTTACCCTGGGGCTTTATTCCAAATGGGAGCTTTTGGCTGACTTGTCATTATGAAGATATACTGATTCCTAACTGATGGAAGGTGCTTGAATGCCAATATGAGGCTGATTTTCAAACACCTCCTCCATCTTTCCTGTGTGTATTAGGTTGTTACAGAGAACACAGGCTCCCAGAATCACAGGGTTAGAAGGGACCACATGGGGCGTGTTCTAGCCGAGCCTCCTGCCATGGACTTATGTCTAACCCACCCAAGTCCAAAGGCTTTCGAAAGCATGCACCTCTTGCCAAGAAGCCTAACGGCAGATTGGGCTGCACTAGAAGGAGCATCGCCAGCAGATGGAGGGAAGTGATTACAGGAATTCCTCATTTAACACAGTAGATACGTTTCAGAAAATGATCATGCTAAGTGAAAACGTGTTATGTGGGGTCAATTTTCCCATTGAAAATAATGGAAAAGGTGGGGGTTGTGTTTGCGCTCACGGCTCCAGCCTGCACTTGTTAGCAGCTGGGATCAGGACATAAGCTTGGGGAGAAAGGGGACTGGGTTATAGCAGGGAGGGGAAGTGTCTGGCTCTTGGGAAGGAAAGGGAAGGACAGGGGAGAGGGCTTGCAGCCGGCAGCTGGGTTTCCCCAGCTGCCTGGTTGCTGGCAGCTGTGCAAGGGTTCTCCCTGCCTCCTTGCATCCGGCGAGGAGGGGTTGCCGGGGAACAGCGCGGTGAGCAGCGAACCTCTGCCAGATGCAAGGAGGCAGGGGGAAGCCCCGCGCAGCTGCCGGCAACCAGCCAGCGGGTTGGGGAAATCGTGTTATTGTGGGGACGGTCATCTTCTTCAAAAAATGCTCCCTAAAAAATAAATCGTGCGATCGTGAAAATGTGTTAAGCGGGCACGTGTTAAGCGAGCAATTACTGTATTCCCCTCTATTTGGCACTGGGGAGGCCACATCTGGAGTATTGCGTCCAGTTTTGTGCACCCCCATCCACTACTGAAAGGATGCAGACAAATTGGAGGGCAACAAATAATTAGTGGGCTGGGGGCACATGACCTATGAGGAGAGGCTGAGAGAGCTGGTCTCATTCAGTCTGCAGAAGAGAAGAGCGAGGGGGGATTTGAGAGCAGCCTTCAACTTCATGTAGGGGGGTTCCAAAGAGGATGGAGAGAGGCTGTTCTCAGTAGTGACTGATGGAAGAACAAGGAGCAATGGGCTCAAGTTACAGTGGGGGAGGTCTAGGTTGGATATTAGGTAAAGCACTGGGATGGGTTCCGTAGGGAAGAGGTGGAATCTCCATCCCTAGAAGTTTTTAAGTCCGGGCTTGACAAAGCCCTGGCTGGGATGATTGAGTTGTGGTTGGTACTGAACTGGGCACGGGGCAGAACTCGTTGCTTCCTGAGGGCTCTTCCAGGCCTCATTGTTTATGATTTTATCCAGTCTCCTTTTGAATATCTCCAGTGAAGGAGATTCCACAACCTCCCTTGGCAGCTCTCTTCCATTGCCCTAGCCTACTTACCATTAGGAATCTTTTAATGAGATTGAATCTAAATGCACAATGCTGTAGTGTGATCCTATTACCTCTTGTTCTGCCATCTGCTGCAAGACAGAACAACTTTTCTCCATCTTTTTTTTATGGCAGTGTTTCAAGTATTTGGACACGGCTCTCATGTCCCTCTTTAATCTCTTTTTCAAAACTTTACTCACGTGTTTTGCATTCCATCCCTTTGATCAGCCTTGATACTCACCTCTGGGACCTTTCTAGTTGCTCTACGTCCATTCTAATGATGCTTAGCTATCTCCTACCATGAGTCTATATTTGAAAAAGCCAATGCTTGCTAGGGAAGCAGAGTTTTAAAATAATGAACTGTTCTTTCTATTTTGTTGTGATTCATTTTGGAACGTCTGTCCTTTAAAATGAAAGAAATCTTGGCACAGACTCACACAAAATTAGTTTGTTTGCAAATTTCTTGCAGCCAGACCAACATAATTTCTTTTGTATCTTGACTTTCTATTGTCTTTTCCAATGCAGATATCTGCATATTGTTAATCTGGAATCATGAAATCTTGAAAGCTTAACCTTGGCTGTGTTTTTTCTTCTACCCCAACAGTGCTGATCACATCTGGACTATATGGCACATGGCAATCACACTGGAGTGTCCGTATTCATCCTTCTGGGATTCCCAGGCAGTCGGTCACTGCAAGCTGTCCTGTTCGGGATGTTTCTGCTGATCTACACCATGAGCATCGCAGGGAATCTCAGCATGATCACTTTAATCAGGATCGAGACGCGGCTACACACTCCCATGTATTTTTTCCTCAGCAACTTGTCTCTTGTGGACATCACATACTCTTCCACTATTGCTCCTAAGACTCTGATGAACTTCTTCGCAGAGTGTAAAGTCATTTCTTTTGCTGGCTGTGCCACGCAATTTTTCTTTCACTCCCTTTCTGTGAACTCTGAGGGTTTGCTGCTGGCCGTGATGGCATACGATCGCTTTGTAGCCATTTGCAAGCCGCTGCTGTACACACTCATTATGTCCCAAAAGGTCTGTGTACGTCTGGTAGCAGCATCGTATTTCTGTGCCTCTGTAAATGCTGTGGTGCACACAAGCTCTTTGTTCAGCCTGTCCTTCTGTGGTCCCAACATCATCGATCACTTCTTCTGTGACATCCCCCCGCTCCAGAAACTCTCCTGCTCGGATACTCACAGGGGTGACATTGTGCATTTCGTCTTTGCTGCTCTAACTGCACTGAGCACTGTTCTGGTCATCCTCGTCTCCTACATTTCTATCATGCTGGCCATCTTGCGGATCCGCTCCAATGAGGGCAGACGTAAAGCCTTCTCCACCTGCGCCTCTCACTTGACAGCTGTGTCCATTCTGTACGGGGCTCTGTTTTTCATGTACTTACGGCCCACCTCCGGCAACCCATCAGATTACGATAAAGTGGTGTCTGTGTTCTATACCTTGGTGATCCCTTTGTTGAACCCCCTGATCTACAGCCTGAGGAACAAGGAAGTGAAGGATGCTCTGAGAAGGACAATATACCAGAAAATTATTCCTCACTGGATCTAAGGGCTTGTCTACACTTACCCTGAAATCGATGCTCTGGAGAGCGATCTCCTGGAGTTCAATTTAGCGGGTCTGTGAGGGCGAGCCTCTTGGGTGCCAGAGACAGGCCAATGACAGAGGTTTCCTCCACCTCTGCAGAGGGCCAGCGGGGCAAGCATGAGATCTGTGGGGCGAGGGAGCTGTAGCTCTATGTCCCTCTCACCACCACGCACCACTGGGCTTGGCGCCTCCCTCCTCTGGGGGCAACCAGCTGCACAGGTGGGCCAGGCTGGGACTGATTGTGCCCAGAGAAATTCTTTAACTCCTTCCTGGCCAAGGTGGGAATCACTGTTCCCTTTAAGCTGAGTGCTCCTGCGGCCACCCAGGAAAGATTTTTAGGGTATGTCTACACTAGCCCTCTACTTCAAACTTGCAGGAGGATTACCAGCTAATTCAATTAGGGCTTTAAATCGGACTTCCATTTCACAGCCGCGTGTATACGCGGGCAGTTACTCCGGGCTAGTGGAATTCTAAAATGGCAACCAGCTGGGAACATGCAAATCAAGTGTGGAATATTTAAATCCCGGACTTGATTTGCAATTTCAATATGCTTCATTAGCCTCCCTAGTTCGAACTAGGGGGCTAGTATAGACATAGCCTAATGCCACCCGACAGATTAGCAGAGCGCCCACAGTCAGCAACATGAGTTTCTACCGGTGGTGCACATCCACACATCACAAACTTTATTCTGAACAGGAATGGAAAAAATTAAAGGGAACACTGGTGGGAATCTGTCCTACCAAAGCAGCTAATTGCACAGGATGGGCTAAGTATCCCTTACAAATCTGCCCGTTCTCTTTCTGTGGATATCCCCTTCCAATGCCAATATCAGACACAGATGTGATGTTTTCAGAGTAACCATCTCTGTGGTCTGCTTGGAGGATGCTCTTGTCACATTTCAGGGCAACTGCACTTGTATTTCCCCTTCCACGGTCCAGCACATTCTAGTCTACCAGCACTTTGGCCATCACTTCTCCTGGGCAGATTCGTGCACCTCTATACAATCCATAGACTCATAGACTTTAAGGTCAGAAGGGACCATTATGATCATCTGGTCTGACCCCCTGCACAGTGCAGGCCACAGAATCTCACCCACCCCTCCTAGAATAATCCTCTCACCTATATCTCAGATATTGAAACCTTCGAATACTTCGAAGACCCAAAGATGCAGAGAATCCTCCAGCTGTGATCTGTGCCCCATGCTACATGGCCTCTGCCAATCTACCCTGAAGGAAAATTCCTCCCCGACCCCAAATATGGTGATCAAGTCTTTGATCTCCAGGACCAGCTAATCAGAAAGAAAAGAGCCTCTCCTTGGGGTATATCATGAAAAGACTTTTATTTTTTGCATAATTGGAGATGGGGAATTTGCATAAACCTCTATCTATATATTTCTCAGGAAATCCACTTCACACTTATTGTCCCCAAAAAGAGTCCATTCTTGTCTGGGGACATGTTCAGTGTAGTCCTTTGAACTCCCAAGCCTCATATCAGAACTCCTCCCGGAGGTATTATATGCTATCATAGCCCGCAAAACTACATAAGCTGTGAACTTCATACCGTAAGTTTTTCCAAGGACACGACAGGAAATTGTATTATCTGTCACCTTATATCTCAGGTGTCTGGCCATTACCTCTCTCTGGGCAGGGGCCCACTTGGCCTGGGAATTAGGAGGTAGGCCCTGAAATTTATTGGGATTTACAGTTTCTAGCAGAGTGCCCCAACAATCGGTTCTTGGACCGGTTTTGTTCAACATCTTTATTAATGACCTGGCTGAGGGGATGGATTGCAGATGACACTAAGCTAGCGGGAGAGGTAGATACGCTGGAGGGCAGAGATAGGGTCCAGAGTGACCTTGACAGATTAGAGGACTGGGCCAAAAGAAATCTGATGAGGTTCAACAAGGACAAGTGTAGATTTCTGCACTTGGGACGGAAGAATCTCAAGCATTGTTACAGGCTGGGGACTGACTGGCTAAGTAGTAGTTCAGCTGAAAAGGACCTGGGGGTTACAGTGGATGAGAAGCTGGATATGAGTCAACAGTGGGCCCTTGTAGACAAGAAGGCTAATGGCATATTAGGGTGCATTTAGAGGAGCATTGCCAGCAGATCCAGAGAAGTGATTATTCCCCTTTATTTGGCACTGGTGAGGCCATGTCTGGAATACTGTGTCCAGTTCTGGGCCCCCCACTATAGAAAGGATGTGGACGCATTGGAGAGGGTTCAGCGGAGAGCAACCAAAATGATTCGGGGGCTGGAGCACATGACCTATGAGGAGAGTCTCGGGGATTTGTGTTTCTTTAGTCTTCATAAGAGAAGAGTGAGGGGGGAATTGATAGCAGCCTTCATCTGCCTGAAGGGACGTTCCAAAAAGGATGGAGACAGTCTCAAGTTACAGTGGGAGAGGTCTAGGTTGGATATTAGGAAAAACTATTTCATTAGGAGGGTGATGAAGCACTGGGATGGGTTACCTACGGAGATGGTGGAATCTCCATCCTTAGATGATTTTAAGTCTCTGCTTGACAAAGCCCTGGCTGGGTTGATTTAGTTGGGATTGTTCCTGCCTTGTGCAGGAGGCTGGACTTGATGTCCTCTTGAGGTCTCTTCCAGCTCTATGATTCTATCCCAGCAGGTCTGAACCTTAGTCCAGCCCCTGAATTTGCATCCTCTCTCAAAATCGGTTGCACCTCAGCTAACACACCTCAATCTTGGTATACCTCACACTCTGCAATCACAGCCTTTTCTGACCCCCTGACTTGGTCAGTGCCCCTCAGTTCTGATCTTCAGCCATTTTTGTTATGCCAATCTAAGGCTTTTAGACATCCCCGAAGAGACACCTCAGTCTTGATCCACTGTACAGGTCTTTGCTTCTCCTGTATCCCATCTCTGGGCTCTCAAAATACCAGTGTCCCGAAGAACTCAATTCTTGTTTTCTCAGCAATTAAAAAATAATTAAATAACTGTACCAGGAAATGCATTTGCAATAAACTTTGCCAGCTTGATTTCTGGCTGGAAGTCGTTCTTCCTGGGGGGAGCTGCAGATCTGTGGAGTGGATAAATCAGGGGAAAGGGATACAGAGAAGTCACAACACTTCGAAGAACTTGATCAGACTTTGGTATCAAACTATCTCCTGATCCCATGTGACCTAAAGGGCATCTTAATGATGCTGTTTGTGCCTGACCTGAGGTTGAAAGCCCTAAGGGATTCAGTCTCCAAATGCCAGTAGAGCAAAGAAATACACCCCACCTCTTATTACAGCTTTTGAATCCAAGAAAGAGAGATGTCTCTCTTGCAACAGGCAGTACAGGACAAAGAGTAACGTGAGTAAAACAAATGCTTCCATTTCTTCTAACACCTGAGAAATACACCCACATACATTCTTTCCACTAAGAAACAGAAATTGTTTTCTGTTCTCTACATGGTGATTCTTATAGCACCAAAATGATGGATTTTTAATGATCTCTGTATATTTGCAATCAAATGGGATAAAAAGCCTAAAATACCTGAATACAACATGTGATTTTTGGGAGGGGCTCATATATGGGACCATCAGCTGTTGTCGATTATCATTACACCATTGACTTCACTAGAGCGGTAGTAAGATACAAGAACGAAGAATCTAGCCCTAATGGGATTTAGTGAGTTAAGTTACGGCATAAACTCTGTCAATGAAAAAAAAAGAAAAGAAAAAATATCTCTTGTTTGCCAGTAATCAAAATGTAAGGCTTGGGGTTTTGTTTTTTTTTTAAATGTGGCTCATGCTATTGAACAACGAATATTTTTTGAATGAAAACTTAAAGCATGTTTTCTACTGAAGGGAACATTCCACACTGACAGCCCTAGAGAGAGCTGGTCTTTCTATGTAGACAGAAGGTCCCATACAGAATGGGCAGCTCTGGTTTTCCTCAACGCCCCATTCTCAGCTCTGATAGAAGGGCTCGCAGGTTCAGGGTGGATACTTAGAGATCATGGAATGAATATAGGACGTGTATATTTCAGATTTTCTCAGTAGCTTGCAGTGGAAAAACAAGCACATGTGGACCCACTTGGATTCCAAGGAAGAGTCTCGCTGGATGCTTTCTGACTGGCACTCGCTGCTACCGGGGCATTACCAGGTATGTAGTCACCATAAAGCTGCATCATGTCTGCTTTCAAAATCTCTTCTGAGAAACAAAGGTCAGTCTTCCCACTATCTCCACATCCTTTGGGCAAATGAGAGAGATTAACAGAGCTACAAGGTATGTGAACACAGCAGAAAGGAAAAAAACCCTCCAATGTCAGAGAGTCTCAAGAGACAATTCACAGCTGTGTAGACATTCAGGTTCTGTTTGGAACCCAGGTCTGACACCCAGAGTGGCGGGCGTGTGATCAGCTATTGCCTACGTGAGCATGAGAGAAAGGGAGGGAGAGATTTTCTTTTACATGCCTGCACACCAAACTCTTTTTCTCTTGAAGCGGGATTTCTTCCTAACCTGTTTGTTACTTCTGCTACAACACTTCCATGCTAGTTCCGGGAGCCAAAAAGGGTGGGAGGGTTTCAACCCTGGTGTAAATACAGCCTCTCTTTGCTTAACTCCTCCATTTCTTCATATCCCCTTCAATGATATACACCTCCCCTTTGTGCCTGTTACCTTCGCTATCTCAAAAAGAATTTTGTTTATTGGATTTACCCCAGGGCTTTATGCCAAATGGGACTGATTCCTGACTGATGGAAAGGTGCTAGAATGCCAGTATGAGGCTGATTTTCAAACACCTCCTCCATCTTTCACTTGAGTATTAGGTTGTTGCAGAGAACACAGACTCTCAGAATCACAGGGTTAGAAGGACCACATGGGGCGTGTTCTAGCCGAGCCGCCTGCCAAAGACTTGTTATGTCTAACCCACCCAAGTCCTATAGCATGAACATCTTGCCAAGAATGCTAACGGCAGATTGGAGAGCATTTGTAGGAGCACTGTCAGCAGAT